GGGCCTGGAACATCTGCCCTATGAGGAGAGGCTGAGGGAGCTGGGCCTGTTCAGCCTGGAGAAGAGAAGGCTGAGAGGGGATCTAATCAGTGTATATAAATGCCTCAAGGGAGAGAGTGCAGAGGACAGTGATGGTCTCTTTTCAGTGGTGGCCACTGATAGGACTAGAGGAAATGGCCAGAAACTGAAACACCAACAATTCCATAGGAACTTAAGGAAAAACTTCTTAACAGTGAGGGTGAGAGAGCACTGGAACAGGCTGCCCAGAGAGGTTGTGGAGCCTCCTTCTCTGGAGATCTTCAAAACCCGGTTGGATGCAGTCCTGTGCCACGTGCTCTAGGTGTCCCTGCGTATGCAGGGGGTTGGACTAGATGATCTCTAGAGGTCCCTTCCAACCCTAAGCATTCTATGATTCTATGATTGGCATCCAAGGCCATGTGTCTCTTAAAACTTTCAAGAGTAGCCCTAAAAATTATTCCTTCCTTCATCTGCCATAACAGCCCTCCATACTGGGATGCTATTTAGCTAATAACCCAGTCATGCTGTTCTTCTATCTAGTTTCCAAGAGGTATGTGCAGCATGGAGCAAGCTCAGGAACCATAAGAACAGCTCTGTCTGCAGGATGTTTCAGGGAGGAGAGGCTACAGGAAACACGTAGAGCTCCCGTTAAACAAGAATGGGCTACCTGAAAGATAAGCACTGCTGGGGCTGTCCTTCGTGTTCTTCAGCTTGTTTGAGGTACCTCACAGATTAACCAACTCTACCCCTGGCAGAAATGCAGCCCAGTTTTTTAAAGCATGGTGCATGACGGCAGCGTCGCTGTGCCAGTCCATCTTCAGGGACTTCTGTCAGGCTACAGATGGAACTAGGGCCTAAGAAAGTTATTATTTAAATCAATTCTTAAAGCGGAAAATTCCTCACAAGCTGATGGTGTTTACAGAAAGGGATATATGTTTCAAAAGCTAATAACTCTACATCAGAGAAGGGCAATGTGGCAAAGGGCAGAAGCAGAGGGACTAGCCCAGATGCAACACTTTGGAATATATTCCCTAACCTTAAACCTTAAAGGAAAATCCTACTTACTGGGGCACTTCTTCCTGCCCCAATGAAGTTTTCATACTGCAACTGAAGAAATCAATAATTTTTCTCTCAGTTAAGGGCAGTCAGCAAAGCAGCAGCTTGTTGTTTTGGCAGATAGACACACAGTGTTTTAGGAAGAACTGTAGTATTTCTTCCCTCACGCAGGTTAGCCTGATGGAACAGCCACTCCTCCTCACGCTTCTCAGATTCTCAGCCTCCTGGGACACAAAAAGGAATTGGGAGGCAACATGCTCAAAATAGAAAGTGGCAACGGCCTAAAAATTATTAATAATTTCAAATGCTTCCATCTTCCACTGAACTACCACGGAAGCAACACTGTCTGAGCTGCGAGTGGCCAAGCTCATGCCAAAGAGAAGCTTGTGCTCACTGCCATGAAAGCACAAGAAGCAACAACCTGAGCTGATGGGCGATTGCAGATGTATTTAATTGAGTTTTCTGCAGTCTCCGGAAGTCTAACTAACAGTTTGTGGAGAATGAGAAAACGAGATGGGCCAGGGGACACAGAGCTGACCTGGAGGCATCACACAGGGGTGATGGTGCACGGGCAGTAATGGAGAGCTGCTCGCTGGAAAGGAAACCCTGGGCATCCTACAAAGCCGTGACGGAAACGCAGCCAGGCTCTAATGCTGCGCTCCGCAGCCTTCTGCAGAGAGCAAGCACAGCGGGAAACGCTCCGCCAGCCTCCGCGGAGCCCCTTGTTCCCTCCCCGGCATCAAGCCGGGCGCTGCCGCACAACAGGAGCGGCGAGAGGGGCCTGGGGCAGGCTCTGCACCCAGATAACATCTCCAAATCACCGGGCCGCAGCTCCACCTGCACCTTCTAATTCACGCCAAGAATGACGGTCATGGCTCATCTTCCCCACGGACAAAGTCGCCACCCAGCTATTTTAAGGGCCATGGTGAGGAGTTACTCAGACCGAGGCCTTTCTGACCTACGCATAAATCTGCGCGTGCGGCTCCATGGCCACCCGGCCCGCGGGGCCTGCGGACAAAGAGGCCGCTGGCAAACGCCTCATGAGGCGCCGGCGGCCGCGGCGGCAGCGCGGGGGCCGAGTCCGGCGGCAGGCCCTGGGGGACCGGACCAAAACCATCCCCGGCTGTGATAAAACACCACCAAACAGCACACGCTCCACAATTAACCAAACTGCAAAGGATTTCGCCTGCGGCCACGAGATATTAGAAAGAATGAAAAGCTTCCCAGGCAAAAATATTAGGAGGCTCAAAACACTACAAAAAAAGTGGTTTGTATGTGATGGCTTAATAAAACCATGCAGCAATAGAAAGATTTTAGGTAGCTTACATAGAAAAGCCCTATTTGTTACTACATAATTTGTTACAGACAATTTGTTATGCTGTCCTAGTCCCTCAGCTTATAAGGGTGGATGCTAATTTAAAAACACACAAACTGTTAAATGTGTATCATTTTGTGACTAGGCTGTAACACCTTACAAAGTGATGAATAGTGGCTTTATTTCTATATACTTCTCTGAGAAAGTATCCACACTAGAAGCAATGCTAACACCAACATTTAAACATACCACCTGAACTCCACATTTCCAAGAGGATTTTATGGACAGATTCAGAAGCAAGTCCGATTTGGGGCAATACTGAACTTATGACCACTGCAAAACACGTTTTTAACCAGAACTGATCCAGTTCAGAGTCTGCATGAGGGAGTCTAAGGGGGGATGGGGGGTTGCCACACATTAAAAATCAGAAAAAACACGGCAAGGATTAAAACTATAAAGATAAGACCAATGAAGGTACTAGAATATACATATTAAAAATACACTTTTCCTAGTATAGCTTCTCTCTTGCCACTCATGCTGAACGCTCAAAACTGGTTCACAGGCAGCTAAATTATAATTTTGTTTCACAGGCAACGGCAATTCAATCTGCCCACAGCAACCAGCCCCTAGACTTGGGACAAAGCTCCAGAGGCCTCCGAAGCGCCTCAGGCAAAAACAAATCCAAAGCACTGGCCCTGAGTGGTGCCGGCCCTACTGAAAGGCAGATGCCTTCAGAGCCCTGGGTGTTAAGTCATTATCAAGCCCTTAACTAATTAAGCCACCACCTTGTCAAAGCGGAGAGCCCTTGTCTGTGCGGCTGATGCCCTGTTAACATAATGGGATAAGCTGCCTCGCTCCCTTTTCTCTCCCCAGCTCTGGGAGCAGCTGGGCGATGCTCTGCCGAGCGGGGCAGGCCCTGCTCATCTGTCACTCCTGGCCGCGGCCGCCCACGCCGCACGCAGCATCCCAAGCCAAGCCGGGGACAAAACGGCCTCGGCTGGAGCAGCCGTCACACTGACAGCGCGGGGCCACCGCGCTCAAGGGCTGTGCCAACAGCTAGCGGGGAGGGAGACGCCATCCCAGACAGGAGTGACCACTGGAGCCAGATTGAATCTGCAACGGCAAAACATGCTACAACGCAGCCATTTGTAGGTCCCTCTTTGGGCTTCAGGACCGAGAAAGACAGACTTACAAATGACAAAGCCTTTATCAGATGGCATCAGGCTTCCTTTTCGCATCTGCATGGCCACAGCAGTGAGAGCCGTTGGTCAAGCCCCAAGGACTCCAAAAGCCACCGCTCCCAAAACGGCCCCCAACCCTGGGCACCCGAGAGACGCTCATCTCAACGGCCTCGCGTGTGGACATGCCGTTATTTAAGCAAACAGCAAAGGGCAACTACTTTCTCATGTGAAACCCTGGAAGCGAGTGCTTAGACTGCAAAGCTCCAAGGCTTGCTATTTACCACATCTCTCATGTGTCTCCCTTTCCAGCAGAATCTGCGAAAGGACTCAATACTTTTGGCAAGAAAAGTGTACAGTTGTGTTACCCCATAAAATTATAATGACAAAAAACTATTACCTGCCATAGCTGGTGTTTCTTTTCATTAAAGCTCCGTTTTCCCACTTAAACCAACAGCATCACATAGTCCATAACCTTAACACATTTTCAATAGGAAATTCAGAATGACCAGGGTTTGAAATTTTGAAGTCCAGTTCAGTAGTTTAAAGCAAGATGAATCACTTGGAATATGCTGATTTTGCAGACCTGCCATTCCTAAGTCTCTGGAGGAAGAACCCAAGGCTCCAAGCTGGAAGGAGAGCCCTATTTTGAGTCTAGGTCTTCTTCCCCAAACCTGTGGGGCACAAAGTCTGCCTGCTCTTGGCCTGAGAGAGCGAAACACCGCCCCAACGAGAACTCCACGTGCAGTCACCATCATACCCTGCCTGCTGACTTGACCAAGAAGGAAAACAGGGTATTTCTGAATAGAAGGCAACGGGAGGACCCGGGAAGCGGGTGGGGACACTGGGAACAGAAGGCTGAATAGCATCCAAATGCTTCACCCAAAGCTTCGGTGCCAAAAGAGAGCTTGAGGTCCTCTGTAGACTGCTGCTTTGTGACTGTGTTACCAGAATTACCGCTTACCAAAATATTTGCTGGATTTCCAGGCAATACCCAAGCTTTATTTGTAATGCAATGAAAGGTAGAAATGAAAGATTTAGTTCAAAGCAGGACACTTCCTTTCTTCTCGTCCTGACAAACTTCACGAGAGCCCAGCTTTGAGAAGAAAACTCATCACCTGCTCCATAAAGCACCCAGATTTCCACTTCACAGCATGATTCAGTGACTGCCTAGAGCCCCGCTCCTAGGTAGGTTGGGAGAATGAAGCAAATATGAATACATGCAATGAAGCAGTCACTAAATAGTACCTGGATACACTCTCAAGTTGTCAGCCTGACTTCATTCAGCTCTACCTTGAATGAGTTGTCAGTCTATATAAAGCTACTCCTCATCCAAATGAGGCATAACATCGACGTGCCTTTGCTCAGGTTGGAATGAAACTCAGGACAGAATGAAATTCAGGACAGAGTATGCACAATAGAAAGCCTGTGTCTTTTTGCACCACATCTAAGCCACAGCAGGAAGAAAAATGCAAAACTGCTGTATTTTTATTTTTAATCTACCACCAAGAGAGATATTAGAGAGTCATGCTCCGATCTGTGCAAGCTCCTCATCTCCATCCAAGTTAAACTCAGCAAGTGTAAAGACAACATCCCAAATAAAATATATCAAAGAAAAGCCAGAATGATGTTATCCTAGCAGAACGGCAAAAATTTCCGTTATCTTTAACAAAACAACCAACAATATTAGCCTTAAGGCTTTTTTTCCTGCTCTCTCCTTGCTCTGTTTTTTTGCCTCTCTCGCGCTCTCTCTCCACCTCATCACTGCAGCCAAGTTTTAAACAATATACATGAAAACAGCAGCTTTCAATCTGCTCCTGGACTGGCCAAGTTAACGAGGCCACATGGCAACCCAGAGCACTCTGGAGGGAAGGGTTCAAAAATGCTCGTTAGTGCAGGCTGTACTGCCCTAAAAAATGTAAAAAAATTCAAACTAGATTGTATTTCACTGTCTTTCTCCCCTGATCCCCAAGTAAAAGAGCATTCAGATTTCCAACACATACCATGGAAAGAATGAAGCACTTTTGGAAACAGTGAAAGACCCATTCTCCTTTCTAAATTTAAAGACTTCTAAAACTAAAGCAAGTCTCTTTTGAAAAAGCAGAACACCTCTGCAAATTACACCAAAGCCATTAAACTGTTGTTGCAGAAACAAGTACCTGTTTTTCCTGACCTACATTCTCAGGCTGGCAGGAAATCAAAGTTCACGTCAAATTAGAATAGATTTTGAACAGACCTGCATGCACCATCCTATCTCTATTAAATCTGTTTGGGCTCAGCGAGCTCCAGTTGCGGACGAAAGAAGGCATTATTTTTTTTAGTTATGAATGCTCTGCATTACACAACGCAAACAGCTCACCGTTTTGTCGCAATACCAAAAGGTAAAATTCATTTTCTTCCATATAACTTTGTTCAACCAGGGACATGCTCTTCTCTGTGAACTGCTGCAAATATTATCTGGTATATTCAATAAAAGACATGTGGTTAAGCAGACAACAGGAAAGTAACAAGTCTAGTTTTGTCCTAAGGCCCTTAAAATGAAAAGTCTCTCTAGTTAAGAGAGGTCTTATATATATATTTTATGTAATATATATAATATAATATATAATATTATTTATATAATAAATAAATAATATATAATATATATATAATAAACACGCAGCAGTGAATCCTTAGGGATTTTCTAGAAAAGGTGCACTGAACCAAGAAGAAACACATGCCAAGAAGCACAGGGGTGGGACAGAAGTGAGAATTATTATACTTGTGAGGACTCAACTCCAGATATGAAAGCACCAGAGGGACGTTCAGAAATAAAGCTGGGCACTTTTCCCCCCGATTCTACTATAGCTGCTCCATCTGCCCTCCTCATCTTGGCCTTGGGGAGTTTTATCGGCTGCTCAAGCCATCACACTACGGCTTTTGCAGTGCTCTGCTTTAACACATGTCTGCAAAAACTGTGTGCAACAGGGACTCATATTAGCTTGGCTTTTTCACACCCATTTTCAGACCTCTGTAGTTTTAAAATGTCCATTATTGGATTAAAATTAAAATTACTGCATTGCAAAACACATCCAAGGCAAAAATATATATATATATGTTTTTTTTTTATTATTTTTGGGTAATGCTTTGCACATTCGTGGCAGAAATTCTTTAGAAGTGTAGTTCTTTTCAGGTTAAGTTAAGCATGTACACAAATACACCTCGTAGAAAAAACCCTGAGAATACACGTGAATCAGAAATTACTCTTAAAAGCATACGTTAAGGATGCATCTTTCTAGCACTACCTGTATGTACCAGATGGAGCCCCAAAGCCTCACAGGACGCTGCTGAACTCCCATCACAGACCTCCATAAAGCGTAAGGAGCCAGACACCCATTAGCAGCACTCCAAACAGCACTGTGTTTTGGGAACTGCTGTTTTGGCTTATGTTTTTTTGATTTATACCTCATAACTGCAAAACTAATGAGATTCTAATGAAAAGCAGGACTTTATGCATGTTGCCCTCCCCCCAGTTTCAGCTGATTTCAGTAAGCATGCTGCTGATTAAAGCAAGAGGTGACAGTCTTAAAAAGCTACTCCATCAGCCTGTTTCCAAATG